GAGAAATCGAACATTGCTTGATATAGTTCGGTCCATGGTGAGCCGAACTATGTGTCCAATTGGTTTCTAGGGCTATGCCTTAGAAACTACTAAAAGGGTCCTGAATCTTGTACCAACGAAGAAGGTTTCCAAAACACCTTCCAAAATATGGAGTGGAAAAGTATGTTCCCTTGCGTATTTAAAGATTTGGGGTTATGATGCTTACATACGTCGTGAAGTTCAAGATAAACTAGAACCCAGATCAAAGAGGTGTTATTTTGTTAGATACCCAGCTGATTCTTTTGGATATTTATTCTATAAACCTTCAGAAAACAAAGTGTTTGCTGCTCGAAGGGCAGTTTTCTTCGAAAGGGAACTGATTGGGAGCCGAATTGATCTTGAAGAAATTCAAAAGTCAACCAACATGGAATCTGACGTTAGCACTAGTTCTCAGCAACAACTTATAAAACCTACAGTTGTTGAGCCTCAACAAAGAGTTACTGAGGAATCTGACATCCAGCCACCACCTGTTCGCAAGTCTGATAGAATGCGTCATGCACCAGAAAGATATAATTTACTCATATCTGATGGTGATGATACACATGTAGATCTTGATGAGCCTACCAGTTATCAGGAAGCCATGGCGGGCCCTGCGGCCACTAAATGGAAGGAGGCTATGGAGAGCAAGATGCAGTCCATGTATGAAAATCAAGTATGGGACTTGGTTGATCATAGACCCAGTCAAAATACAGTGGGGTGTAAATGGGTCTTCAAGAAAAAGACCAACATGGATGGCAAAGTACATGCGTACAAAGCCAGATTGGTGGCAAAGGGCTACATGCAAACTCATGGTGTAGACTATGATGAAACTTTCTCACAAGTGGCTATGTTGAAATCCCATCAGGATACTCATTGTCATAGCAGCATTTCATGACTATGAAATATGGCAAATGGATGTAAAACCCGCTTTCTTTAATGGTAAGTTGTTTGAGGATGTATTTATGACATAGCCTGAGGGTTTTGTACCGTCCGAGCATCCTGATAGAGTGTGTAAGATTCAAAAATCTATTTATGGACTTAAGCAAGTTTTTTGCAGCTGGAACATCTGCTTCGATGAGAAAATCAAAGAATTTGGTTTTATGAGGAGCGAAGATGAAACATGCGTATATGTCAAAACTAGTGGGAGCATTTGTAGTCTTCTTTGTGTTGTATGTAGATGACATACTTTACATGGGAAACGATATCCCTACTTTGCAAAGCATAAAAACTTGGCTAGGGAAATGTTTTTCTATGAAGGACATGGGATATGCAGCATACATACTAGGCATCAAGATCTATAGAGATAGATCCAGGCGTCTTATTGGTCTAAGACGGTACATAGACAAAGTGTTAAATTCAACATGCAGGACTCCAAGAAGGGGTTCATTCCTATGCAGCATGGTTTGGCATTGACCAAGGCTCAGTGTCCTGGTTCTACTTCAGAGCTAGAAAGGATGTGTTGGATCCCTTATGCCTCGGCTATATGATCGATCATGTATGTCATGATATGTACTAGGCCTGATGTGTTGTATGCTTTGAGCATGACGAGTCGATATCAGGCCAATCCTAGAAATGACCATTGGACAGAGGTAAAGAACATCCTCAAGTATTTGAGACGAACTAAAGAAATGTTCTTAGTTTATGGAGGTGTGGAGGAACTCAGTGTAAAGGGTTACATTGATACTAGTTTTCAAACCGATAGAGATGATTCTTGCTCTCAGTAGGGATTCGTGTTCTTGTTGAATGGTGGAGCAGTTCATTGGAGAACGCCAAGCAGAGCACTGTAACAGACTCGACAACGGAGGCTGAGTACATTGCAGTCAACGAGGCTTCAAAAGAGGTCATGTGGATGAAGAAGTTCATCGAGGATCTTGGTGCGGTTCCTAGCATTCAAGATCCTATAGAGATCTTCTATGACGATGAGGGTGCAATCATCCTGACTAATGAACTCAGGTCACATAAGCGCACATGACATATACTTAGGAAGTTTTACTACATTCGGAAGATTGTCGAGGACAAAGACATCATCATTAGTAGAGTTGGAATGTATGGGAACTTGGTTGATCCATTCACCAAGCCCTTGTAGCAGACCAAGCATGATAATTATACTAGGTCTATAGGCATTAGATTTGCTAATAATTTGTCTTGATTGCATTTATTTTAGTTGATTTAAAATTTCAGAATTTATACACTTACTTTATGATGTATCGATGTTAAGATTGAGATCTTAATTTTTTCTTGGAGCAGTTACTATCATTTAGTGTATTATTAATGTTCCACTTTGCGTGTTCGTTAACTTCCTTGAATGATTAGTTCAAAAAATTTCCCAGTCGGTCATTCTCCACTGGAAGGGAGTAGTGAACTAAGACTGATGTGGACTGTTAGTTGATTATCCATAAGAGATGGATATAACATAGAGATGCAACTATACACTCACATGTACTTGATAGAGATCAAATATTGGAACGACCCGCACTTAGAGATTGCTTCATGGATCATGTCACAAGCAATTCTAAGATGGTAATATCTACTATCCTTAAGTAGAGATACATGAGATTCTTGACACAAAGTTTGTTATGCTTTGATGTTTCTCCAATGTTGTCCGTAACAGGCGACTATAAAGGGAACAATTAGACGTAGCCTCACTAGTGGGGAAGAGATCTATGTAGTCAATACTATTTGTTCCTTTTATTTTGCAATAAAAGCGATATCCATGGGGTCCTTGATGATTTAATGATGACGCAAAATGTATGCATACTCGGACTGGATTGATGATTGAATCAATCTCGCAGTCTGTCTTTGGGCCACCATAAAAATCTTTATCGAGAAACATAATAGTGAATGATCTGCAGATTGACTATATTCCTTGTCTCATGTTCAAACGGATATCTGTAACAAAGGGATATTTGATCACTTACCTATAAGACTGCTTAATGAAGAAATTGAGTCTTGGATGACGTACCTCATTCAGTTGTTATGACATGTGCAAGTGGGAGTCTGTTGAGATATCCCCATAGATATAACAAAATAGTAATATAGTTAAATGTGTGGGTCTATTGGGTCACTCAGAGTTTTATCAATGTAAAAGCAAAAAAATAATATTTAAGGTTTTAATGGGCATTTTAGCTTCATCCTTGGTTTTCAAAGAATTAAAAGTGTTAATTAATTACTAGAGGGACTAATTGGTTATTAGTCTAAACCTATTTGAGTTTAATTAAGATTGGGCCTTGATCTAATATGGTTAGGTTTTAGTTCGAATTAGGCCTTATAAAAGGATGTTTATCCCTAAACCCTAAACCTAATTTTCACTTTTGAGCTCTCCCTCTTCCTCTCCTCTAGAAAACGACGCCCACACCCTCTCCTTAAGGGTATAGCCAAAAACTACAAAGCACGCACATATTATAAATATAAAGTGTGGTGCTTTTGGGATTGCACGAGAAGAGAAATGTGATTTCTTGTTGTTTACAAGTGATTGAAGCTTTGGGATGTGAACACAATAGAAAGGATCCTGCTATTGGGTTCTTCACTTCCATCTAAAAGGTTTTTCTAATCACCTTCTATGTTTGTTTTGCTACTTGTATCGGATTGTAACCACATCTCTGGAAGGCTGTGATTTCGATTTTGTTTGCTTCTGCTGTTAATGTTTTTTTGGGTTATCAAAGTTTATCACAACCCTACAGTTACTCCTCCGGTCACTAAAATCCTAATATTTATGAGAGTGAATAAATGCTATCCAATGGTTGTTTTCTTATCAGAAAAAACCATAGTTATATATATATATATATATATATATATATATATAATTGTGATCCTTTTGAAAAAACCATCACGTGCGATCTCAAAAGTGTGTTTTGTATCAATTGATGTATTTTAATATAATTTAAATGTAAATGTAGATTGATATTTTATGAATTGATGTATTTAGTTGTTATGAAACTTCATTCATATTTTATATTGTGTTTGAATCAATCAATGTACTTCAATGTAAAATTGACCTAGAATTTTTTTTCAAGTGGTGGTTATTCGACTAAAAGAAACAAATATAGAGATATTTTTTCACAAAATCATCATTGGTATGTTAGTTAGTTCATTGTTTTTCAAATGTGAGACATGTGCTCAAGTTCTTTATTGCAACTTTATTCCAGAAAAATAATAAATTTGAAATTAAAAACAAGAAAACTAAAAAAATGACACTAACGGAACTCAAACTCGTGTTTAGAATGGAAGAAAAACCTTACAAACCAACTCTACCACGAGAAACTTATGTTCTTGTTTTAGTTTCAAAATATATATGGTGGCACACAAGAAATTGATACCTTTTTTACACTACAACGGAAGAATGAAGCGATGGCCCGAGCAACCACATACACCATCTGGTCAGTCCCATGATGGTATATTTTAGTTAAATGGATTGCTAGTTTATGATTTAGATGTAAATTTTGTAATGACGATGATTAAACAGATGAAATTGTATATAAATTCAACATTATAGCATTCTGAAAGGTAAACTATATGATTATACAGATTTAGACATTTATTAGTTTACAACAAAAAATTGTTGTATTGATTATGTTTTCAGACTTCATCATCATCTTTTATCAACGAAAAGTGAAATAAAACTTTATACTTAAAGCTTCTCTTAGAAAACCCACTGAAGAGGTCGTTTACTAGACACTTACCCGGTAGACACTTACCAGTAAAATTCAATACTATCATTTTCTTACCGGGTAAGATTTTAGTCAATAAAAACAACATCTTATGTAACAATTTACCTGATAAACGATAATTGTGGTAAAAATCGTTACCTTCAATTACTGGATAAGACCCTTGATTCTTACCTTGCTATTACCATGTAAAATTATTAATCATTACCATATTAATTCGGTAAGGTAATGTGATTTGGTAAACTATACCGATGGTTGTTGAACTTTTCTTTAGTTTAGAAGGATTTTTTTAATAAATGCAACCACCCCCAAATTACAATGAGGTAGGAATGTAGACGTGTACACATTTCGGACCAGACTCTGTGGTGAACGAGAGTTAGCGACGCAAAACCCTTCCACGATAAACAAATCTCATTCAATGCACACTCTCCGACCCTCCACCCACCGCCGGAAAATTCCTTATAAATCCCATTTTCTTGATCCATCCTTGTAAATCTGCATCCGGAGCCGACAAATTATACTGAAAATTGAGAGAGTTTTGTGATTGAAAGAAGGGAACGAAGAAAAATTGATAGGTATAATGTGGGTGAATGATCGGAATGACAATAACCCAATTGTGGTTATTAACAAACTCAAGTTCACGTACCCAGGGATCGACGGCCACCCGCCTCCTGGTTCAGTTCCTCTCATTGAAGATTTCTCTCTCACTCTCAATTCCGGTGATCGTTGCCTTCTTGTCGGATCTAATGGCGCAGGTTCGTCCCTTCTTTCCTCTTTTTGTATAATTGAAGTAATAAAATTTGTTTTTTAAATCAAGCCAAATAGTTTTTGGTTGTATTCATATTGTGATATTTATGGAATGCAAACAAAAGGGAAAACGACAATACTGAAGATACTGGGAGGGAAGCACATGGTGGATCCCGACATGGTTCGGGTTCTTGGGAGATCCGCTTTCCATGACACCTCTTTGATTTCTTCCGGTGACCTCGCTTATCTTGGTGGAGAGGTGGTTTGCTTCTCTTTTAATAGCAATTGTTAATTTTATTCATGCTCCTGTATTTCAAGTGGAAACAATGACATGAATGATACAAGGAGGAAACAATGGAGGATTATGATGAATGTTGACTCATAAACGGTAGAAAAGTTGTGTGATTTGATTTTCTTTGTTATTATCGTGAGATATGTGGAAACTGATAGATTACTTAACAGAGGTTCCACATATATTGATAAGAAATGGTCCGAAGTGTGCCCAACGTCGGACTCTTAACATGCCCCTCCAATGGAGGCTAGATGGGAACAATTTTATATGGATACATATTGTCCCAAGGTGTCAAGTCCTCTAGAACTTGATTATGATACAATGTGAGGATGTGTAAAACCCCATTAGATTACTCTTCAAAAATAGACTTGTAGAGGAGGGAAAAGTCCCAACGTATATACATGTTTGATGGTCCGTCTGTAGGCGATGCTTTGATGGTCCATGTGAAGCTGATACTGGACTCCAACACATTCTCTCAAACGGAGGCGAGAGCGTGTCGATTGTGGAGTCCCTAGGTGGTGTTAGACACCGAATCTGGTACCTTGTTAGGACATGTGAAACCCCATTAGATTACCCTACAAAATAATCATTGAGGAGAGAAGGGAAGTTTGAACATATATTAAAGGGAAATGGTTCACATCTAATTGATGTGGACTCCAACAAATATTAGAGGACACTTGGTAAATATTAGGAACTAAGTTGAACATCAACTTGTTCTGCATAATTGGTTTGGTTTCTTGTTTCTAGCTCCCTAGTGCTGATTTGATTGCTCTTATCTTTCTTTTATGTTGTCCTTGATAACGTATTTATATATGCACTTCATAGAAAATGGTGCTTCCAATAATGTGTATTACTTGCCTATTGCATAGTGAATCAAGGCCTGAATAGAAACATAGCTTGAATTATGTGCTGATTTGTGTTTGGTTCCGTTAATGATACCAATGTCCTTAATTGACACACTTGACCAATGTGTTTAATTTCATGATGAAAAACCAAATCAACAAAGCTCAGCAAGCCAGTGGCTCAACGGTTCTTACCATGTGCTTTAATTTCATGATGTCCCAAAGTGTATACGCTTTGCTAGGAACCTCTATGCTATGAATAACCAAGCAAATACGAACAATCACTCACATAAAATAGACATTTATGAGATTTAGCAGCAGTCATGAGTTTGCATTATATGAAGAAATCATGCAGAATAGAAAATACCCATGAAATACCTGGTGTGAAGATAGATCGATAGCATATATAGGTGTAGTCAGTACTTCAAACAAATTCTATTCATTTCCATGCTTAAGGCCAGCAATACCCAGTAACTTGAATTTGTAGGTGTATCAGTATGAATTAATTATTAAGCATGGCATACCTTGTTGTTAGGTTCGTTTAGTTTTTTAGGCTTAGGCTATAGCATTTTCTGTCTGCTGAGAATAAGATACTAGAACACTTCGACAGAAATTTAGGAAATAATATGTGGTGGCTTCCAAGCAAAAGAGGAACAATGTCCATGGTCATTTACTTGGTTCACCCAATAAGACTACGTCCATGAGTAATGGTGAATGAGTTTTACTATAAGGCAAAAACAACATAGAAAAGAGAATACATGATAAAAAGAACCAACGTGCCTAACTTCAAGCAGATGAAGTATATATAGACTTCAATAAAAATGTGATCTTACTAGGACTCTCACCAAATGGAATTAGGATGGTTGCTTCAGCAGAGTTTTGCTTCTTAAATGATGGCTTGAGAATTGAATAGAGACTTCCTCTTTGGATTAGGATGTAAGGCATCTAAACACGATATTGAAATCAGTAATCCTTTGCCAACTTAATTATTTGTTTTACGACACTTTAGGGAATCAGGAGGTTGTCAAGAATATCTCAGGTAGTCAGGTGGCGAGAAGTCGTTGAGAGATGTCAGAACACTATGAAGGAAGATTAATGACTTTAGATTAAAAAATCACCTTTCCTGAATTTATTAATAGTAAGGTTCACGAAGGTGCAAATGGTATCTTGATATTAAAAAATATCAAACTATAATCAATTGAATTAAATATAAATTGCATCAAAGTATTATTTTGATCCCATCAAGGGGGGTCAAATGTTTGGAACTAGTTTGAGTTATTTGCTTTGCTTTGCTTTGCTTTTGTTTTTTCACTTCTTTCTTTTAAAGTGTTTGGACTCGCCCACGTTGATGATATTAATAATTAAAAAGTTTGTTTGCTTGATTTTGTTTCAAAGGCCTAGAAAAGATGGAGTCTCACAGTAAATATAAATATCTGATGGGCTTGTGCAGTAGTTGGCCATTGCTATTGAGCATGTTTTTTCTTGGTTCTGAATAGTCGTTTGAATGAGCAGTGGAGAAGGGAAGTTGCTTTTGCTGGCTTTGATGTTGCGATACAAATGGATATATCTGCTGAGAAAATGTTATTTGGCGTGTCAGGTATCGATCCAGAGAGAAGAGCTCAGCTAATTAAGGTAGGTCAAAAGATTAAATATGTTCCTTGTGATGGCTTAAATTCATTTACTTCATTTTCTATATGGTTTTTGTGGGTTCTATTCTTCATTTTTCCTTGAATCGCAAATATATATATATATATATATATATATATATATATATACACACGGGTTCCACAAATTAGAACAAATGTGTGGGCCAAAACTATAATGAACTTCAACAGTCAAAATGATCTTATATTTTGCGGGGCGTAGATAAGAAAATGAAAAATAACAATTTTAAAGTTATATTTTCTCAATTTAATGTATCTGTTTGCACTTTTCTCCCAAATTTGAAGAATCGGTCTCTACATTGACATTGTAAACATGTCCATGTTAACATTCATGATTTTCAAAATCGTTTGAGGCATACGCCTTGAGGCGCGCCTCGAGGCGAGGCGATACAAAACCGCTCATGAGGTGGCGCCTCATGATCCCTGGACAAGGCTTAAGCCTCAATTGGGGAGGCGGTGCGTTGAGGCGTGAGGTGTTTCTAAGGCGCACGCCTCAGTTTGCTTCTGCCTTGATTCATTGAAAATAGGTGCCTGATGAGGTGAGAATAAGAAAAATTACTAAGTTTTTTCAAGTAAAGTCATACAATTGTACTTCTATAATTTAAAAGTACAAAGAAGCCTATTATGGGATGTACTTTTATCTTATCAATCAAAAACAAATGTTACCTTTCCATTTCCATATCCTACTTTTGTCTTCTACTCCTACTTTCTTCTCAGATTTTCTTCTCCTCCTTTCTTCTCCACCGAGAATACCCCTCCAAACCCCATTTTTTTTCTTCTCCATTTCTTACTTTTTCCTCTCTCAAGAAGATATTTGTCTCAAAGGCCAACCCAAAAAGCCAGTTCTTTCTAGTTTGTGATAGTGATTATGGATACGATTGTGGAGCTATACAACTTGATCATGCAACGGGAAACAATAAATTGTAAATTTTTATGGTTTTAGACTTATAACTAGTAATTTTATGAATCTGTGACGTTTAAAGTTTGGTATGGGATTATGTTTTGCTTACTATTAATATTTTTGAATTTTATTTGTTTTACGCCTCGAGGCTTGCGCCTCAGGGCGTGGAAGGAAAACGCCTTGAGTCCCGATACCTCTTTTTGAAACCTTGTTAACATCACAATCCAATTTATGCACTTTACTAGTCCCAAGTAAGGAATGTATTGAGCGATTTTTATGCTGATTAAACAACTTCTCTGTCTTAACCATTGCAGGTTTTAGATATTGATCTGTCATGGAGGATGCACAAGGTATCTGACGGTCAGCGAAGAAGAGTGCAAATATGCATGGGCCTCCTAAAGGAATTCAAGGTATTAGCTTAGCTACCCTCTACTCCGGTGAATATTGCAACATGTGTCTTTAGGGTGTTATTTGAGTGTTCTTTTTTTCTGGAAACATTCCGATGTTAAATTACCTATTTTATGTTCGTGATCATTACAAATAAGTTGATACTGATGCGGGTTCATCATATTCTTTTTTTGTGTTCACTGAATGGAAGTTTTAGATATCTTACACCAAAGGGTCATTGACAATGGTACCCGGTTGATCCTCTAACCTCATAAATAAATGTTGTTATATACTTCAAATTTAGATATTTGACAATTATTCAAATATTGATTCATGGAATGGAGTATTGAATTCGCAGTCTCAGTTTGTTTTGATACTCTTATCATGTAATCTTGGTGTCATTTGTGTAGGTTCTTCTTCTTGATGAAATTACTGTTGACCTAGATGTGCTTGCCAGGGCTGATCTTTTGACATTCCTAAGGAAGGAATGTGAAGAGCATGGTGCCACAATCATATATGCCACACATATATTTGATGGTCTCGAGAATTGGCCTTCGCATATTGTAAGGTTTCAGTTATTTATGCATTTATGTGTAGCGAAGTATGCTATTGTGGTCACAAAACTTTTGGCTTTGTTTTAGGTGTATGTTGCTCACGGGAAGTTGCAATTAGCATCTACTATGGAAGAGGTCAAAAACATGAGCAATCTGTCTCTAATGGTGGGTTTTCCTTGGTTCTTTTGTCCCATCAAAATACAACACAAAATAAATATAATTAATTCTTGTTTGTGTAGATTCCGTTTTTGCAAAGTTTCATTTCAAGGTTACTATTGCATACGTTAGAGATCATTACGAAATGTTATTAGTTTTGAATTTGGTGCACAACGTTCCTATATTTTGTAACTCGTTTTTTGGTAACCATGGGTGATCGGGCCAGCATGCCCTCACCTCGACTAATCTCGTAAGGCCCTGAAGTTAACTGGCTGACCTGAGGCTGTTGAACTTTGTTTGGGGGGAGGGGGTGTTAGATATTGAACTGATATTTTGACCTTTTTGTTAAAATGTGTCATGTTTCATGTTCATACATCTGTATTCCTTATAGAAACCATAGCATATGAATTATGTGATAAAAAAAGTTAAACTTTAGAGGTCAAATGGACAGATTTTGAACTCCAAAGTTGTTTCATTTTCTAGATGAATTTTAACTGCTTTAAAAGTATACCATATACTACAAATAGGGAAACCCTTTTTTGGAAGGGTGACTAATCCCAGCAAATTGTAACGGTAAGAAATCAATCATTGATAAACTCAGTGGCCACAATTGTTATGTACACCTGTAATCGAACCCTAGACAGATGGGGATATTCCACCACGTCCCCAGGGCCTCAACTACTACGTCACAACCCTTGTGGTTAAATAGGGAAGCATTGACAATAAATTGATGTTTTGTTTGTGGTTACAGAGAACAGTAGAGCAATGGCTGAGGAAAGAACGAGACGAGGAGAGGAAGAGAAGGAAAGAGAGAAAAGCAAATGGACTTCCAGAATTCGATAGGCGTATTGATGGGAGTCGGGTAATCGGCGGGGATCCGGTTCGTGTGGTGAACAACGGATGGGCTGCTGGAAGGCTGAATTCCACCGTCGCCGGTGAAAAGAACTTCATGTATAGTTCAAACAGAGTTATGAGGCAATAGTCAAATGGAATCCCAATATGTGGTTAGTAGTACAAAATGGATCCAAAGCATGGGACATTGAATCACCTTAAATGTTATTTTTATGAAGTTTTTATTTGCAGTTATATTTCCTAATTAATTAAGGTGTGTGCAATTTGTGGGAAATAGAAATCTTTGATATTGATGTTGTTCCTATTGAATACTCTGTTTGATTCTATATGTAGGTAGTTGATTCCTATTTATGGAGTGGATATATGTATCTATGTATTTATATAGGGGTAAATGTAATATTATACATGATACATACATTCATGCAATAAGCTTATAAGGCCTTATAGGCTTCATATTTGATTCGGTGGTTGTTTATGAAACTTACTCGGCTTTTTATAGGCTTCAATGACTCTTCAATGACTACTCAATGAACGGTATCGGATTTTATTGGCTTCAGCGGCTTTTAATGAATATGATTAGGCCTTGATGGGTTGTATTAGAATTAATGATTGTTTACGAACAATATTGGGTCTCTTCGGCTTTCAGTGGCTATTAATGAATTGTATTGGGCCTTTATTGGTTACAATGGGTACTGATGTTTCATAATAGACTCACTATTATTAACGAATTATATTTGGCCTTAATGGCTTTAGTGGCTCATAATGAAATGTATTGGATCTTGTAGGCTATAGTGGATGGTAATGAACGATACAATTGATGCGCTTCATGTGATAACCAGGTTATCGGTTATAAAGTCCGTGGTTGTTTTTAAATAGGGGTGGAAAGTTGAGGTGGTTAAATTGTTTATGTGTTTAAATTCTTTTAATAACCCCACCGCCTCTTAATTTTGAGAATATTATTATGGGATATTGATAATCTCATTGGGATTGTGGGGAAAGGTAAAAGAAAGAAAAGTGGTTTTTTATATGCGTGTTCTTAGAGCCGTGAAAAAGAAGAAAATTTCTCTGTGTGTGATTTTGAAATCGAAGCAAAGATAGAAATTGGATTCTGTGATTTTAATCTGATTAGTTGTTGATGTTGATCTGCATCTTCATCTCATTGTGAATTTAATGTGAGTTTTATTTACAAACTTTCATCTTACAGTGTTGGATTAGAACCGTATGATTCTTTACATGGGGAAGTTTTGAAAACTGTTTTTATGTTACGTTTAGCATAATTTGGTATTTTGATATGTTTGTATCAAATGGTTGAAATAAATGTGGCATAATCAGGAGAGATGCATTTTGGATATAAGGGTGACATAATCAGGAGACGTGTATTTTGGGATAAGGGTGACATAATCAGGAGAGGTGTATTATGATTATAAATGTAGCATAATCATCTAATTGTGAAAACTGAGTTTTTATCAAGTTGAATTGTTATCGCATCTTTATGATGCGATAACTTTGTGTTGTCGCATATGTGTGATGCAATGACTTGGAGATATCGCATCCTATTGATGCGATGACTTGTTTTTATCGCGACCAAGTGATGCGAGAAGTTGTGTTTGTCGCATCCTTGTGATGCGACAAGTTGATTTATCGCACCCTATTGATGTGACAAATTGCTTTTATCGCACCAGTGTGATGCGATGAGATTGGTTTCTCGTACCAGTGTGTTGCGAGGAAATGGGGTTGTTACACCCATGTGATGCGAGGAATATATGATGCAATGAGTTTTTGTATTAATGCAATAAATGAGTTACTTGATTATTTGACGTGATAAGGGTTGTTGTCTTATTATTTTGACATGACAAAAGAGGTTAGTTTTGATAAAACGGTGTTCATTTGTTATTTATACAAATTTTGATTTGTAAAAGCGTTTTGATGATTTTTCACTCTGTAATAGAAAACAAAATGATTTTTCACTAGACCTCAGGGTCTAACCCTCATTTGTATTTCAAAAAATTTGTTACAAGTCGGGCACAGTCTGACGATAAAGGGAAAGGAAAAGTATGAAGAATATATGATTGCTTTTTGGGATAATATGTTATCTTTTGTAATTGAATATTTGTCATGTATACAAATTTTGTATTGGGATTTTATGAAAAAATTTAGTAGCTACTTTTATAATGTAGCTTTTGTAGATATCTAGACCAAATGTGTAAATTTGTATTTTTTGATATATGAAATACATGATTATATGCAAATGTGATTATGGGGTGCTACAAGTTTGGTATCAAAGCCTAACTTTAAGAGATTTAGGTGTTCAACATGATAACTAGACTTAAACTATATTAATTTGCATATTAAGGTCTCTAACATATGTAGAACCTTTGGAATAAATATGATGGGTTAACAGATCAATATGTAAAGTAAATTCAAATTACAACTGACCAATGTGATCATGGGTTTACAATTAAAGGTACATGTTTGAGCTTGAATACCTTATTATATTTAGAGAACGTGATTATGTGAATGTTAAGTTTTAAAATTGACAGATGGTAAGCCCATCAAGAAGGTCTGAAAGAATCGCCCTCATCATCCCAGACGAGAGGGAAAGTTCACGTGAAAACATTCCTGAAAATCTACCAATAGGTCGAGGTAAAGGGAGAGGTCGGGGCAGGGGCTGCGAAAGAAGAAGAAGTAGTCATCCTGAAGTTCATCCAGACCAAAGGTGAATCAATTCAGGAAAACGTTAATGAAGAACCAATACAACATCCTGAGTATGTTACTCGGGATATGTTAGCTGAGGAAATGAGCAAACTGAGAAATACTTTGACTTCCATTATGGGAGTATCAGCCAGGGTGGAAATGGAGCAAGTAGAAATTAATCCACAAGTCCAATATGCAAATACCATAGGGGTTGACATCAAGGTGTTTTTAACATGTAAACCCCTAACATTCTCCGGAGAAAGAGATCATGTGAAGGCAATGTGCTGGTTGAGGGAAATAGAATCAGTATTCAATACAAGTAAGTGTTCTTACGAAGATAGGGTTAGATTTGTTGTATCGATGCTTAAGTCTAATGCTTTATATTGGTGGGATGTCAAATCTTTGGCAAAACCTATGTTTTGCAAAACATGTGTGGATGGAGTTTGTTGATCGATTTAGGGAACAATTTTGCCCGAAAGCCACAATAAGACAATTGGAAGAGGAATTATGACCAAATACTAAGGAAGTATACAGAGATGTTCATTGAACACTCCCGTTTTGCCGAACACTACATTTCATCTGTGTCTCGTAAAGTCGAGAAGTATATTTGGGGATTAAAGCCTTCGATCTGAGAATTTTTAATTACGATGAGTCCCACTACCTTCCCATTAATTCCTTTGTTTCACTCTTAATTTTGGTCTGTAATTTTTATCATTTGGTTGATTTTGATTCCAATCATGGTTATAGATTTCAAAAATGGTCATCCAAAATAAGACAATCCTATGAGCCAAACCTCATGAATTGACACAAAGACATCTAATTCACTTTTCTTATATCCTTCACTTTCTTCACATATTTCCACTCTTCATTAATGTGGGACAACTAAAACTCAACTACAATTCAACATTTAAAAATACTCAATTCTCATGGTGCCACCTCAATACCAAGGTTTTCCTTTTAAGCAATGTGATCATTGATATTTTGTGAAATATATAGTTTGTTTTTAACTTTGTATTTTACATGATACTTTAATTATGTGTTTTACACTGTAATTTTACCAATTGGTTGATTTTCATTTCAACCATAGTTATAGATTTCCAAGCATCCATCATGTTTTTATACATCCATCATCTTCTTTCAAACTATCATTTTTCCACCAATGTGAGATGATGAAAGTCAACCTTATTTCAACATTTGGGACAGTCAAACCTCATGTTGCCAAGTGATCATCATTGGTTTTGCTTTTAATTTTGCACTATAATTTTTATTATATGGTTGGTTTTGGTTCCAACCATGGTTATGAATCTCAAAGATGTTATCCAAAATAAGACAACTTTATGAGACAAACTCCATGAATTGACACAAAGACATCCAATTCACCTTTTGTATACACTTCACTTTGTTCAAATTTTTCAAGTCTTCACCAATGTGGGACAACTAAAACTCAACCATAATTCACCATTTGAGAATACTCAATTCCCATGATATCACCTCAGTACTCCAAGGTTTTCCTTTTATATATAATAATAACTAGAAGGGTACTCGCACAATGCAACAAATATACATCTTGATTTTAATATTCCATTTTATTCTTTATTTCAGTCGATGTTATAGTATGGTCTTGTGTGATTTTGAAAAATCGATAATGTTTTTATTTTTAAATAAAATATAAATTGAAGATATTATAAAAATTTGACAAAAATATATCGATATTAGTATCAAATTAACTATTTAAAATTTCTATTTTTTGTGTAATTTTCTAATTCAATTTTTTTATTATAATTTAATTTAGGTTYARTAAYGAADTAATTTATATTTGGTTTAATAATATAATTTTCTTATAAAGATAATAATTAATTATCTTGTTAGAAYTCRATAATTATTCTAAWTATATTTTAGATTTTTTATATTTTAAAATGAGATGTTTATCCTATAATTGATTATATTTATTCGCAGTTAGTTACACGAATTCAAACATGAAGCTTTAATACGTTGTACTTATACATAATTTACTTATACATAATTTTTAAGAGTTTTTGTCAAATACTTTATAATATAGTATAAATATAATATAAAGATAAAGATTTATTTGATTATAAATTAATAAAATATTAATTAATACATAAATTAATTACTAATTTTTTAGTCACATAATTCTCACTTAATTAATAAATTTTAATGGTTCAAAGGCCATTAATTATAGATTTTCAATTGTATCATATTATTTGCTTATGTGGTCTTAATTTATTTCTATCTTCAATAGTGAAGCAAATGTCTATCATGGGTTTTTGGTAACCATAAGTGTCTATACCTATATTTTAAACCAATTATATGTCCTAAAGTTAAGTCTGAGAATCTTTGGTGACTCTGAGTGGCTTTGAACATATAACCAATGAGAAGTAAACACAAAGTCTTATCGATTATTACATCTGTAATAAGTTTTTGTACTGACACAATTGATTAATTCTATAAAATTCTAAAGTTAACAGTCTGACAAACTCTTATGTGGTTTTGAGGAGACTTGGACAAGTCATTGTTGAAAAAGCAAACACAAATTTACCAGTTGAGTTGTTATCTATACTATATTATAAAATATTTGACAAAAAATTTTAAAAACCACTTTTATGCGTAAAGTACTGTTTATTAATGCATATTACTTATAACTCAAGATTGCAACTAACTGCAGATAAACATAATCAAATACAG